GCCAGCATGGCCTTGTTGTCTACGTACAGAACTGGAGGAGAACGAGGCGGCTCTCCGAGGTCAGTCAGCAGGTAGGTGAGCCAGCGAAGCTCCTGTGCAGCCATGGCCCCAGCGTAGATCTCAGCCTCACAACTGGAGCCGAGAACAGAAGACGAGCGAGTAGCCCGCCACGAGACAGAGCCGGAACCAAGGCTGAAGGTGTAACCCTGTGACGACCGCTGCGTAGCCTGGTCATCAGCCCAAGAAGCGTCTGCGTGCCCAGTGAGGACCACTAGACTGCGCCCTCCAAGCACTAGCCCCATGCCCAACGTACTGCACAAGTAGCGCAACACCCTCTTCGCTGCAGCCATGTGCTCTGGTCGGTGTCTCCCAGGAGCAACATAACGTGCGAGAATGCTAAGAGGGTATGCAAGGTCAGGTCGTGTGCAGGTCATCAGGTACATGAGGCAGCCAACAAGCTCTGGGTACGGGCCACTCGACTCTACGGACTCATCCAAAGGCAGAGCTGAGAGTGAGTGGCGAGTAGGCAAAGGAGTGGCCTGAGGCGAGGAGTACGTGAAGCCGAAGCGCTGAAGGACCTGCTGCACCATGTGTGACTGAGTCAGGGTAATGGTGCGGCGTGCTCTGTCCCGGGTGATCTGCAAGCCAAGGTAGCTGCGCAGTTCACCCAGGTCGGTGCACGTGTGTCTCTTCTGCAGCTCGGACTTCACGTAGGCGAGTCCAGCAGTGTCAGCTGTGGCAAAGACCAAGTCGTCGACGTACACGAGGATGTAGAATGGCGGCAGAGAGGTGTCGGTGCGCAGAAACAACGACGGGTCGGTAGTAGAAGGAGCAAACCCAAGAGCCGCAAGCGTAGTCCTCAGTGTGTCGTGCCACTCACGTGGCGCCTGGCGGAGACCATAGACTGGACGCCGGAGACTTCATTGGGTACCAGGAGGGAACGACCCAGTGAAGCCAGGTGGGCGGCGCAGCCAGATCTCCTCGTGCAGGCTGCCCTGCAAGAAAGTTGTGCTGAAGTCAAGAGAGTGCAGCTTGTAGTCACGGTGAGCAGCAACGTGCAGCAGTACCCGAAGAGTGGTCATCTTTGGGGTGGGAGAGAAGGTCTGAAAGTAGTCAACTCCATGCCGCTGACTGAAGCCACGAGCCACGAACCGTGCCTTGAAGGCAGGCGGAGAACCCGGCGGCCGCTTCACCCTGAAGATCCACATGCCACTGACGATGTTCGCCCCAGGCGGGGGAACCTCGTCAACGTAGGTGCTTGTGGACTTCCAGGAAGCCATCTCTGTGTCCATAGCTGCCTGCCACTGAGAGGAGTAGGGACCCTCTCGCCTCCGCGTAAGAGCGCGGAGTTGGGATGTCAAGTGCATCCGGGTCTCCCTCAGGGGTAAGCAGTACGGACACGAGATGAGGTGAAGTGGCTGCCAGACACTGGAACTCCTCCTGCCTGTCCTCAAGGACGTCCGTGCCAAGGGCACACTCACCCCCGACGGACGGAGGACAGACAGACTCAGACTCAGCGACAAGACTAGCAGCGTAGTCTAGGCGACAGCGAGCAGCAAAGTCGACGAGCTCAGCAACTAGGGCAGACGCAGCAGTGGACTCGAAAGAAGGGTCAGTGACGACAATAGCAAGGATGTCAGAATGTTATATTTGTTATCTAGCCTGCAGTGGGGTACTCTATAGCGAGTATAACCCCTTAGGGTTTCATATTTGTATCTCATTGCTTGCTAGTACAACCCCCTCTTTTGCCTAACTTCTTCTTGCCTAGCTAGGTTAGTCCTAGCTATGGCCTCTACTGGTACCTACCTATCTTCACATGGTGATCAGAGCAGTATGCTCCTGGCCTGTGTGCCTAACCACGATCCTTCCGCTGCAACTACTACTTTCCCTTACCGCCGTGCGCCCCGAGGCGCGCGGCGGTTTTCTGCCCGCCGTGCGCCCCGAGGCGCGCGGCGGTTCTCTTCCCGCCGTGCGCCCCGAGGCGCGCGGCGGGTTTCTGCCCCGTCACGCCACGCGCCGCTCCCGGGAGGCGCTGTGACGGGCGACGGGGACCTCCGCGTCGCCCCCCGTCGCTCGTCGTGGCCTCTGTGCGGCCCGTACAGGCAGCGCGCGGCCCGTACGGGCTGTGCCAGACCCACGCGCTGCTCGTACGGGCTGCGCCAGGCTCGCGCGCGGCCCGTACGGGCTGCGCCAGGCCCACGCGCGGCCCGTACGGGCTGCGCCAGGCCGTCGCGCGGCCCGTACGGGAGACGCCCGACCCGCGCGAGGCTCGGGCCGCATGCGCGCGGCTCGGGCGTCCCTACCAGGCCCGTGGTGGGCCCGTTTCCTACCTTCCCTGCCCTCCCCGCTGTTCCCAGTCCCTCTACTACCGCCCTACCCCTCCTACTCCCCATTCTCCTACTTTAGGGTTTGGGGGTGAGGGGTATGGGGGTGACCCTCCTCAGTACCACTCTCTGCTCCTCCTCCTCCTCCGTCTCCTTGTGCTGCAGCTGTCGCTGAGGGGGGGGTGATTGTGGTGGAGCCGGTGGAGTGATACTAAGGGGGGGGGAAGGGGAGGAGAGCTAGCGGTGTAGCAGTGGGTGTGTGCCAGGGGGAGTAGGACAGTCTGGGGAAGCTGAATGGAGGATGCCGATGTGTCGCTAGCAGCACCTGTAGTCCGGGGACTTCGTCCGGTAGCCCAGTCGTAGCCAGCTGTGCCAGCCGCCCATGGGTCCGTTGCTCGTCTGCCGCTACTTTAGCCGCGGGGCCAGTTACTCCTGTAGTCCGGGGGCTTCGTCCGGTAGCCGCTGTGCCAGTCTGCCTCCTGTTGCCCGTGTGTCTGCAGCTTCATCCGTCGCCTCCTATCTGCTCACCTCTCAGTCTCTCTCCTCCTCCTCACTTGCCCGTTGTGACTACCTCTAGCTTTGCTTATAACTGTAAACTTTATACTACTGCTGCTTGAACTTGTGCTCAGACTGTGTGGTGACATTGTGATCCACCCTAAGCTTGTTCTGTTTTGCTTGCTCTGCTGATTACACCCCACTTTGGCTATGGGGGTGTGTCAGAATGTTATATTTGTTATCTAGCCTGCAGTGGGGTACTCTATAGCGAGTATAACCCCTTAGGGTTTCATATTTGTATCTCATTGCTTGCTAGTACAACCCCCTCTTTTGCCTAACTTCTTCTTGCCTAGCTAGGTTAGTCCTAGCTATGGCCTCTACTGGTACCTACCTATCTTCACATGGTGATCAGAGCAGTATGCTCCTGGCCTGTGTGCCTAACCACGATCCTTCCGCTGCAACTACTACTTTCCCTTACCGCCGTGCGCCCCGAGGCGCGCGGCGGTTTTCTGCCCGCCGTGCGCCCCGAGGCGCGCGGCGGTTCTCTTCCCGCCGTGCGCCCCGAGGCGCGCGGCGGGTTTCTGCCCCGTCACGCCACGCGCCGCTCCCGGGAGGCGCTGTGACGGGCGACGGGGACCTCCGCGTCGCCCCCCGTCGCTCGTCGTGGCCTCTGTGCGGCCCGTACAGGCAGCGCGCGGCCCGTACGGGCTGTGCCAGACCCACGCGCTGCTCGTACGGGCTGCGCCAGGCTCGCGCGCGGCCCGTACGGGCTGCGCCAGGCCCACGCGCGGCCCGTACGGGCTGCGCCAGGCCGTCGCGCGGCCCGTACGGGAGACGCCCGACCCGCGCGAGGCTCGGGCCGCATGCGCGCGGCTCGGGCGTCCCTACCAGGCCCGTGGTGGGCCCGTTTCCTACCTTCCCTGCCCTCCCCGCTGTTCCCAGTCCCTCTACTACCGCCCTACCCCTCCTACTCCCCATTCTCCTACTTTAGGGTTTGGGGGTGAGGGGTATGGGGGTGACCCTCCTCAGTACCACTCTCTGCTCCTCCTCCTCCTCCGTCTCCTTGTGCTGCAGCTGTCGCTGAGGGGGGGGTGATTGTGGTGGAGCCGGTGGAGTGATACTAAGGGGGGGGGAAGGGGAGGAGAGCTAGCGGTGTAGCAGTGGGTGTGTGCCAAGGGGAGTAGGACAGTCTGGGGAAGCTGAATGGAGGATGCCGATGTGTCGCTAGCAGCACCTGTAGTCCGGGGACTTCGTCCGGTAGCCCAGTCGTAGCCAGCTGTGCCAGCCGCCCATGGGTCCGTTGCTCGTCTGCCGCTACTTTAGCCGCGGGGCCAGTTACTCCTGTAGTCCGGGGGCTTCGTCCGGTAGCCGCTGTGCCAGTCTGCCTCCTGTTGCCCGTGTGTCTGCAGCTTCATCCGTCGCCTCCTATCTGCTCACCTCTCAGTCTCTCTCCTCCTCCTCACTTGCCCGTTGTGACTACCTCTAGCTTTGCTTATAACTGTAAACTTTATACTACTGCTGCTTGAACTTGTGCTCAGACTGTGTGGTGACATTGTGATCCACCCTAAGCTTGTTCTGTTTTGCTTGCTCTGCTGATTACACCCCACTTTGGCTATGGGGGTGTGTCAGAATGTTATATTTGTTATCTAGCCTGCAGTGGGGTACTCTATAGCGAGTATAACCCCTTAGGGTTTCATATTTGTATCTCATTGCTTGCTAGTACAACCCCCTCTTTTGCCTAACTTCTTCTTGCCTAGCTAGGTTAGTCCTAGCTATGGCCTCTACTGGTACCTACCTATCTTCACAAAGGAGACGCGTGACAGTAGGACTGGCAGCACGAAGAGAGACCGACTCCGGGTCGGCAAGAGTAGGAAGAGAGGACTCAGGAGGAGAAGGCAAAGGGGCACGCAGAGGAGCAATGGACGGACGCAGAGACATCCTGTGCGTGCCAGGGACAGGAGGAGGACGCTGACGCGAACCACGACCACTAGTGCGAGCCGCACGGACGGGCGACGCAGGGCGAGACGCAGGCTCACGACGCTCAGCAAGACCTCCAGTAGTACCAGTGTAGGGAGAAGGAGCAGGCAAAAGGGAGGTAGGCTGCAGCTGTAACTGGGACTGAACAGGCTGTGGACACTCTAAAAAAGGAGGAGGACCAGTAGAAGGTGGAAGACCAAGAACCTACTGCAGTAGTGGAACGAAGTACGGTCGAGGCCGCGCGGTGACGCCAGACGCAGCAGGGACAGCACCAGTACCCCCAGCAGGAGCACCCGCTCCAGCAGCACCTCCAGCAGCTCCAGAACCTCCTGCAGCACCAGTAGTACCCCCAGCAGGACCGCCAGCAGTAGGCTCAGCGCCAACACCCTCAGCAGCACCAGCTCCAGTCGAACCCGCAGGCCCAGCAGCTCCAGTACTCCCAGTACGAGCACATCCGGGACCCGCGACAGCAGCACCCTCAGCAGCCGAAGAACCTCGAGCTCCAGCAGCACGGCTCCAGCGCCGGGCAAACCACTCGCGCAGCTCCTGTGGAGAGAGTGGCTCCCGCAGAGACGAAGCACCCGGAGAACCACCAGGCGTAGCACCTCCAAGCTCAGTACCCTCTGGCTCAGCACCCCCAGTCGCAGCACCCCCAGGCTCAGCACCCCCAGGCTCAGCACCCCCAGTCGCAGCACCCCCAGGCTCAGCACCCCCAGGCTCAGCACCCCCAGTCGCAGCACCCCCAGGCTCAGCACCCCCAGTCTCAGCACCCCCAGCACCCTCAGCAGCACCAGAGTCACCAGTAACCTCGACAGGCTCGACTGCGTCTACCTGGGACACACCCGAAGGGGCAGGACCCTGGGGGGGGAGGGGGTCTACCTGGGGGGGACCTGGTACAAGGAAGAGCGGGGGGGGTGGGAGGGACGGAGTGCGGTAGGGGAAGAGGCGGTAGTAGGGGACCGACTCGTCAAACGTGACGTCCTGGGAGGACAGAACACGGCGAGAGGTGGGGTGGTAGAACTGCCACCCAGGCGCGTAAGGGGGGAACCCCAGGAAGACGCAAGGAGCAGCACGAGGGGACAGCTTGTCCGCAGACAAGTCGCGGGACAAACGCCCGAGATCCCCAGACCCGGAACGCCGACGCATCGCCAACCTTCCCCGTCCACAGCAAGGCTGGAGAGGTCTCCGGCCTGGAGACCCTGGGGTGAAGGTTGATCTGATGCTCCGCGTACCTCACCGCAAACGGCCACAGAAAATGGGGGGCAGCCGCATGCATCATAGACGTACGAGCCACGTCTATGACCATGCCAATGCGGCGCTCAGTGATCCCATTTTGCTGTGGAGAGTCCGGAAGCGTGAAGGTCTGACGGATGCCTCGTGCGCGACAGTAGGCTCTCAGAAGGCCAGAGGAAAACTCTCCGCCTCTGTCCGAGTGCAGACGCAGAACAGGTAAGTCCAAGCCAAAGCTCTGCCTGAGTTGGAGACGAGCTGCGCGGATCTAGTCGATCAGCACCTCAGTGAGATCACCCTTGCTGCGCAAGGGGAAGACCGCGGTGTAACGCAAGTAGTCGTCAACAACGAGCAGGAAGTAGCGCTCGTGACCCTGTCCACGGACGCAGGCTGGGCCCCACACGTCCATGTGAAGCGTCTGCAGTGGGGCCTCTGTCGGAGGAAACTGGGAGGAGTGAGGGGCAGCCCGCTGGCGCCCCTCGACACAGGGGACACAGGTAGGGCCAGGCCCCTGAGGAAGGGGAGGGAGGGACCGGGGGAGACCAGAAACAAGAAGGCGTGAGGCCATGCCTCTGAGACGAAGCAGAGGGGTGACCAAGGCGGTGGTGCCAGAGGAGAGTCTCGTGAGACAGGAGACGACACGAACACGGGGCAGACTCAGGACCAGACCTGGCAGCTGCAGCAAACACCGGACCCGACGCAGCTACCCTACCAGACTCAGCAACTGGAGGAGACGTGGTGGTCAGTGTGTACAGGCTCGACCCCGCGTGACGTGTGAACGTAGCCAAGTGTCGACCTATGCGTGCCTCTGTGCAGTGCGTCACCCGCTGACGCACAGGAGTGAAATGGTGCACTCCCCCATCCTGTAGGTCAGCACCACTCACCAAGTTCGTAGAGAACGAGGGGAGGTAGAGACCAGACAGGGTGCCAGAGGGAGCCGCCAGACACGGGAGGACTGTGGAGAAGTGAGACAGGACAGGACCCCCAGAGGGGTCAGCCAGAGACACCGCAACCGGCCGACTAAGCGGCGTGAGTGTGGTGCGGTCCCGAAAGAAGGAGCGAGAAGCCCCAGAGTCAAGGGTGAAGGTGAGGGAGGCCGAAGCCGACGCAGTACCTGAGAGCGCAGACTCACCAGTACCTGAGGACGCAGACGCACTAGCACCTAGACCAGCAGCGTTGCAAGCACCTAGGGTAGCAGCCTCACCCGTACCTAGAGCAGCAGTCTCAATGCCCGGATCGAGCGGGAAACACCGGTAACAGTCACCCTCGTCACTAATAGTCACAGCATACATGGCAGACAGAATAGCATCAAAATCAAGAACATAGATGGCAACTCCCGCCCTAGACAGCTCGCCCCAGCGAGGGATCTCTGTGGCCTCAGGGAACTGGTGACGCCACGCGTCCGTCAGGCGGCCAAAGCAGCGCTATGTGGGGTGCGCACCCCCACATTGCTCACCCGCACGGTCGCCGGTGCGCAGGACGTAGGTGCACGGACCAAAACCCCCACCCCACTGGCGTGCAGTGTACCACTCACGGAGCTGCTGAGGGGACAGGGTCTCACGACCGCGATGCTGCTGCTGGCGCGGACCACCACCGGAGCCACTCCTCTGCGTAGACCCGCGACCAGCTCCACCGCCACCTCCACCACCTCCGCCGCCTCCGCCACCACCGCCGCCTCCGCCACCACCGCCGCCTCCGCTACCACCGCCGCCTCCGCTCCCTCCGCCACCGCCGCCGCCTCCGCCTCCACTGCTGCCACCGGTACCCCCACCCCCTCCACCACTCCCACCACCACTCCCGATCCCTACGCCGCCTCCACCGCCACCTCCACCGCCCCCGCCAGCTCCTCCAGTGCAATTGCTCCCCTTGCCCTTGCCTGTGCGACGCTTCCCCGAAGGGGCAGACGCAGTACCGACCGACTCAAAACCAACGAGATCGGTCGCAGCAGCAAAAGCAACAGAGGGCAAGAGAGGGGAGGGAGAACACCCCTCAAAGACAGGGGTGCGGGGGTCACCACGAGAGGCTCCTACAGCAACTATGCCCTTCTCCGCCGCTAGGAGGGCCTTCTCGAGGAGGTCAACGGTGAGAGTGGTGGGGCACACTGCGAGGAAGTGGTCCCTGACTACGCGAAGGGAGTCAGGGAGTCGGGTGACTATGTAGTAGAGGGTGATGTACATGGGGGGTGGTTTCTTGGCGCAGAAGTCAGCACAAAGCGCAGCGCGGTAGCGAGTGTCACTAGTGCGGAGGTGCGTAATGAGGTCAGCGACTGTGGGAAAGGCATCAAGGTCATGGAAGAGGTACGGTAGCATGAGACGGCTCAGTGCAGCAGTGGCAGGGGAAGAGTAGCGTGCAACTACAGCGTCGTACAAGGTCTGAGCACTCTTGTACTGACTAAAGTGCGCACGCTCGGAGGTAGGGAGGTGGCGACGCACAGCAAGACGTGCAGCAGCGTCGCGCGTGGCCCACTGGGAGCGAACAGTGGCGTCAGCATCAACAGCAGGGGCAGGAGAGGCGCCAGAGGTGAGGTCAAAGAGAGAGAGACCGTCTGCCCTATCGCACTGTAAGAACAGCTGCAGGTCATCTACCCATACGTCAAAGTCAATAGCTCGACCCTCAGCGTCAAAAGCGAGGACACTAGGGGTAGCCATGACCACAGTAGACTAGCAGTGCAAACAGTAGGGTGAGGGCAGTGCAGTAAAAGAGGCACTGTGCTTACCGGACAGGGCAGCTCGGGCGGCTCGGCAGTAGGGCGGCTCGGCGGCTTGGCTACTGGGCGGCTGGGAGGCTCGGCTGCAGTGCGGCTCGGCGGCCCGGCGGCTCGAATGTACGGCTGCTCGGCTGCTGGGCGGCTCGGCTGCAGGGCGGCTCGGCTGCTCGGCTGCTGGGCGGCTCGGCGGCTCGGCTGTCCGGTTGCTCGGTTGCCCGGGCGGCTCGGCGGTGCTGCTGCAGGGCGGCGCGGCGGTCGGCTGCTCGGCTGGGTGAGGCGGGTCGGGCAGCTCGCGTGGCGGGCGGCGCTGCAGCAGGGGACGGGGCCGCAGATGAGAGCGGCGGGGCCGCAGGTGAGAGCGGCGGGGTCGCCGGTGAGAGCAGCGGGGCCGCAGGTAAGGGTGGCGGGGCCGCAGGTGAGAGCGGCGGGGCCGCCGATGAGAGCGGTGGGGCCGCAGGTGAGAGCGGCGGGGCCGCAGGTGAGAGCAGCGGGGCCGCCGGGAAGGGCGGTGGGGCCGCAGTTGAGGGCGGCGGGGCCGCAGTTGAGGGCGGCGGAGCCGCAGGTAAGGGCGGCGGGGCCGCAGTTGAGGGCGGCGGGGCCGCAGGTAAGGGCGACGGGCCGCAGGAAGGGCGGCGGGCCGTAGGTGAGGGCGGCGGGGCCGTGTAACAGGACGGCGGGGCCGTGAGAAGGGCGGCGACGGGCCGCTGCAAGGGCGGCGACGGGCCGTTGTAAGGGCGGCGATGGGGCCGCTGGTGAAAGGGCGGTGGATCGGGGCCGCAAGGGCGGCTGATCGGGGCCGCGAGAGGCCGCTAGGGCGGCGCGACGCGTCCGTGAGGGCGGCGCGACGCGACCGTAAGGGCGGCGCGCCGGGCCGCTAAGGGTGACGCGACAGGCCGCTAAGGGTGACGCGACGGGGCCGCTAAGAAGGGCGCGACCCTAGGCGCGCTTCGGGCAGGGGCAGGACGCGCCCCGGGCAGGAAAAAAAAGGATCGGTGGGCCCGAGGAACAGTTCCTACGAGGGAACCTGCTCGATACCATGAGAAAGTGAGAACGAGAATGAATGAACTATGAATGAAGTGGGTACAAGTACTAACCCTAATTGGGTTGTACCCCCTATGGGATACCCCACTACAGCCTACATAAAAGCATAAGCTATAATGTTCTGACACTCTCTCCCAGCACTTGTTATTCGACGCACCCATCAAAAGGTATGTAGTTCTGCTAGTACGGGACGTGTCAGTGCGGGCAGAATGACGTTACCTCGTAACAGACGGACCATTGTACTGTGTTGCATCTATCAGCTTCCTGCGGGAACAACTGATGATCCTGAATCCGATCGTTACGGAGTTAGAGGTTGAAGTGTGGGAGAGCGGGATACGCTACGCGCCAATCGAGGTAAATGTGCACGGCTCTTGTGCTCTCCCACTTATAGCAACACAGTGACGCACACTGTTGGCATGCTGAACGCTGAACATGCAGGTGCCACGTCAGCAAAACTCTGACGACTGAGGCATATACATTATGAAGTTTATGCAGGCGCTCGTTGAAACCAGATTTCAAGACGTCAAGGCCATTGTGGCACATGGATCAAGCGTCCAATGGCGTGCTGAGTATCTTGAGGACTTCATTTCATGGAGTGTGGCCTATAGCAACAAGTAATGTTGCTTGTAACATTGTGAACACGGTCCTGCTTGCTAGAGGACTAGATGTTTGTGCAGGGTACTAATTGGTTTTCAAACAGTTACGAAATATCAAGAAACCTGCATCAGCTACTAGCATTGCTGCCAAGTTGGGGATCATGTAACCCAGTGTAATCAGTCCTTGTGCGCGATGAGATTATTACACATCAGCTATTACAATAACCAGACACGAGATTATCATACTTAGTGACGCACACATATGAAATTCGTTAATCGAAACTACTATAAGTTGCCTATAGCGCGAACGAGATTGGACCTCAGGGGACATCAACCAGCCTAAACTTGTACCTCTGGGGTTTCGTTTTAGCCAGTCGTGCTCTCACCTAATTTGGTTGCGCCGTGAGATGGCTTCTTGGAAGAACTTGCGCGGCAGGCGAGCGTCGCTACGACAGCAACTACTAGGGGAGGAGCCATTAGTCGACACAGAGGAACAATACGGCTCCTGGTCTATGAGGATCTCCGGTGCGTGGATGCTGCCTGAGTTCAACCCTCATGCACCTCGTCACTTGGGCAGGCCGGGGTCAGGCCCTGGCTTAGGTGAGGGAATGTCTGACGGAGATGTTGAAGCGCCATGTCGTAACTTGGGACTTGCACCGTATGGACCGACTGAGGCTGAGGACGCCAAAACGGAGGCAAGAGACTGGGGATTCCTGGATGCAGAGACAGAGGCGCAAAAGGATTCAGAGGCGACTGATGACGAGGAGACGCAGGACGCCATGACGGAGGTCACGACGAAGGACGCCGATGTCGAGTTTGGAAGAGCGGGTGTGGATAGAGGAGATGCGGAGACAAATGATGACACGGCCGATGTGGCGCCAGAGGACGCAGAGACAGAGGATGGTAATGAGGAGGGGGCGTGGGAACTCGCAGAGACCGTTAACAGAAATGCGGGTGTGGCGCCAGAAGACGCAGAGACCGAAGACAGAAATGCGGAGGTCACTAAACTGCCAAAAGTTAGAAGAAGAAAGAGGGGTGAACTAGCAGAAATGGGGATACAAATAGCAAACCCTAGAAGGGTTGTACTCGCTATAGAGCACCCCACTACAGGCTAGAACATAAGAATAATATTCTGACACACCCCCATAGCCAAAGTGGGGTGTAATCAGCAGAGCAGGCAAAACAGTACAAGCTCAGGGTGGATCACAATGTCACCACGCATTCTGAGCACAAGGTCAAGAAGAAATAGTTCAAAGTTAACAATTATGAGCAAAGCTAGCAGTGGTCACAACGGGCAAGTGAGGAGGAGGAGGGAGAGTGAGAGGAGAGGAGATAGAAGGCGGCGGCTGAAGCTGCAGACACACGGGCAACAGGAGTGGCGAGCACAGTGGCTACCGGGACAGCGCCCCGGACTACGGGAGTAACAGGCCCCGCGGCTCAAGTAGCGGCAGACGGGCAACGGACCCACAGGCGACCGGCTCAGCGACAAGCTCACTGGGCTACCGGGACAGCGCCCCGGACTACAGGTGCTGCGGACGACAAACTGGCAACCTCCGCTCAACCTCCCACACACAGTCCCACCCCCCTCATACACACCCACTGCTACACCGCTAGCTCTACTCCCACGCACCCCCCTTAAACCCTAAACCCGAGTCTCCCACACAACCACCCCCCTCAGCGACAGCTGCAGCAGTGGGAGACGGAGGAGGAGGAGGAGCAAAGGGAGGAAGGCACACCGTGCACCCCCATACCCGCCACCCCACAGCTCGCCCCTCCCGTCGTCCGTCGAGGCGACCTGAGGGGGCCGCTTGGGGGAGGGGAGAAAAAGGGGGGGGGGGGGGGGGGGGGGGGGGGGGCCGGTGCCGCGACGAGGGGCGGGGCCGCGACGGTCGGGGCGGGGCCGCGACATAGGGCGGGGCCGCGACGTAGGGCGGGGCCGCGACATAGG